TTCCGTTCAAATCCTTGGGTATTTTATTTTTACTAAGAAAATTAAATATTTTTGTTATAAAGGAAGAATTAAGAAGTAGCAAAGTATATTTCAGTCCATTCAAGTCAGCAAAACTCAAGAAAGTGCACATAACATTGTTAATTGACTGTTAATTGCTATAAGCATGGGTTCAAAATTGTGATTTGCATTGCCATTGATCTTACCTAATTAATGCATTACGTAATAAAACTTGATCACTGATCTACTGATAACACTGGCCGACTGAGGGCGTATTTTTCTATCCGTATTATCACCTCATGAATATTAATTTTAATAATTAACACAAACAATTACAATAAAAAATGGTTTATAAATTGAACTAAAAGTTAAACTATACATGCGAAAAACACATTGTTTTCAAATTTTAATGCATTTTCAGGAATCTTGGGTAATTTTGGGTAATTTTTGCTGAATCTTGGGTAATTTCGTCCCAGTTATTGGGTATATCAACAATTGTGAGTGGTCACGCTGCGTCTCACTATGCTTGATAATCGCGTGAAACCAGTGGTAGCTATGGTGGAATAAAGATAATAATAATAAGCCCGGTGGGGGTCTCAGCATTTTTAAGCTGTTTTAAAACGATTTCAGGGAGTGTGTGTTGACAATACCGGGTACAGTACAGCAAAAATATTTTTAATGAAGCCACGTACAATTTGAGTTTCAATGTATATTATGTTTAATTTGAACCCGTGTACGCAAACATTTCATGACTTAAACAAGCAAATAAAAGCATTAATAGGCATCTGATCAATTTCTAGTAAAGCGTCAATGAAGAATTAAGTATATTTACGAAAATAGGCCTCTGTCTATAATGACTCACGTTACTGCATGACCGTTTTCATATTTTTAATAAAATCAATTTCTTCTAATTTTAAATACATTTCCCCCTAAATTCGTTATCACGAATAGACCTGTGCTAAATGCATGACAAATTAATGATTACGCATGTGTTTCATCCAAATTCACTTTGAAATGCGGGACCGTCCACGCTGTTTTTGTAGTGTATTGATTAGGCCTAAATGTATATTGGCTTTCGATACGTTCATGATACAGGGTTATTTCAGACATGACATGACTGAAAACAACTCTCTTACGTTTAAAATCTAACTCACATTATGCTCACTATAGTGTTATAGTACTAGGCCATTGAGAAAAGGGATTTTATTAGCTGCACTTTTAAACGAAACGCCAAGCAAGGACAATGGTCCGAAGATAATATATTCGGACCATTGTCCTTCGCTAGCGCCGACGGGCATGGCTTCGTATGTTGACGTCATGCCTAATTTTAGCTATAGTTCGTCTTTCAGTTATAGTTCATCCTCGACATAGATTAGGCCCTGTCTTTTATTACACAGCATAGCAAAACACAGCAACTACATGGTACAACCATGTACAACCAATGTAAGAAAAATAAGTTGTCCCCGTGTAATTTTCTATCCAAAATTAGGATGGCGTCTGTGGCACAGTGAAATAATACAAAGGCCTAGTTAGTCTTATATTTTGTAGGGATTAGGCCGTAATCACAGAAAGAAATGAAAACTATTTAATGCCTATACTACTAGTACTGAGTCGGTGGATTTTCCAACCTAATCCCATGAACAAAGAACAAAGTATCTTACTGGAAGAGAAAATGGGCCTAATAAATTAAAATTACAACTTCTATTGCAACATAACTGCTGAAGTTAAGTTTTATTAATTTTTAATGTTTTACAAAATTGCCGACTATATTACACAAAAAGAGTGGAAAGTGGAACAGAATCTTAAATATAATTAAATTAAATATAATTCTTTCCAATATCTGTATTGCAGTTTGCATTGTACAAAGTAATGTATTATTTAACAATTACTGTAGGCCTATTCTTTAGTAGCCTAGGGCCGCATTCTGGCATAGGCCTAAAGGCCGGCCAGACAGTGGCTCATCTGCGATACATTTTCTGGGGGGGGGGCTAAGCCGTCCAATAGGGGGCTTGAGCTTGTATGCCTGAGGAGGGGGAAGGTTTGGGAGATGAGATTCTAAAAATAGGAGCTCTGGATGGCCGGAAATGGCACTTAGCAATGTGAAATACATAGTTTGGCTTGGTGTAGGCCTATATTTAATTTTTTTTCGGTCCCAGCGACTGCCCGACGAGCTCGGCCCGGGGGTGGGGGAGGGGTGTCCTTGACTTGTCCGATAGGGGTGGGGCTTAAGCCCCATTGTCCCCCGGTTCCGCTAGCGCCGCCACTGCTAGACAGACTGCTGCGGGTGCTAGTACTAGGCCTTGCCTAGTACTACTGAAGAGGCCTCCTGGTCCGACCTAGCGCAGACCGACACGATCGTCCATACTTTGGGCCCAATTGTCTAGAAATGGACTCGATCTCTCTTGGGCCCCGATCGTCCGTCAACCGGCCGTCCGTCACCCGGCCGTAGCACAAACCTATGCACAAACTAAGTAAGTAGGTGCATAGGCACGATATGTGTAATGTTTTCAGGTAGACGGTATAGTTTATACATGAAGCGCACCATACGAACCAGGCCCCCTCGGCTGAACCATTAGCAACTACCGGTATAAACCTCGAGAGGCGCTGTAGCTATTAGTAGATGCAGTTTCATATTTCCTTTTTGTCCAGTACAATGATCTCAAATGCAATTGTTTCCTTCTAAAAAGGGTCTAATAGGCCAAGCCCTGGGCACTGAACATTTAACGTGTCAGCTGACGTCGCAATTTGGTTACAAGCAGCACTATGTCCATATAAATCAGTTAAGGGCCATATATTCATGGTTGTCATTGTAAGGGATGGAAGGGGGGGGGGGCATGCGGGATGTGCATACATGGACTTCAGTGCTCAAAATACTGCCCTAAAGATAGCTTGTTGCTTAATTTCAATATTTATTGCAGGAAATAACAAATATTATATACAGGGCAGCTCGTCTGTCTAAAAAATAATGTGGACTTTTCGGATTGGGGTAGAGGACGGCGATATATATATATATATGCTGTCTCTTATACACATCTAGATGTGTATAAGAGACAGGTAATGAAGAACCTACATATACTGTACTATTTACTAGGCCTATAAATAATAATCGCCCAAGGGGAATATCTTTTGTGTTATTTCCCCTTAACGTCGTTTTTTTAATTGTTCTCTAATTCCTCCATTGTCTAAGTTCCCCTT